CCTCACACACTCTCTCTTTCTCTCGATCTGGCCTCTGGCTCGTAGCTGGATAGCTCCTTGGCGGCTGCAATCCTGGATCACTAATTACTGCTATTTTCGAAGCGTGTAGATGTCAAGGGCACGTGAATTGATGGAAACGATAGCGTAAGCGGACGGACACTATGATGGTCGATGCTTCACTCTTCAAATTCGTTCGCGCGCGTTCCGTCTGCTCGCGTGCCGAATTCCTTCGTTACCTATTTTGTCCCCCCGGGAGGTGCTGCCCTCACAGACAGCAATTAAGTTAAATAATCAGCGCTAATTTGACGTTTACCGTCACAGTTCATAAAATGCAAGGTCCCTTGTCGTAAAAATCTTTCGAGGCATTTTATTGTTTCGAGGATTTTAATGTTTATATAAGCGAATGGGTCTACGATATTGCTTCTTTTCATTTTCTTGTGAGCAAAAATAGTGTACGTAAGTTGTGCGTGGAGTAAATGATCACGCACGGGCGTTGTCGTAAAACATAAAAAGACAACTCTAACCCTAAAAAATTCATTTTTCAGATTTGAAAAAAACAATTTTAACGCGACATGACAGAACCTTTTTCGAGTTAGAACATCTAAAAAAACCTGACGTGATGAACAAATTCTGACATCGGTAAACGACCCTCAGTAGGCTAACAACTACAACCCTTATTTTTCAGATATATGTTATTTGTTCACCACGACACGGATTTTTTTTTGAAATTTTGCATAATTATTACACATTCAAGTTATACACATTCAATCACATTAATTTTATGAATAGTTATGAACTATTAAGGAATGATAAAAATGTTTCGAAATTAAACTTTTTTAAAATACGTGTATCACCTTAAACTTTTTAAATATAAATACAACAGTAAATAGTAATTTTTTCAGAAGTTATTAACTTTTATTTTAAGCAATAAACAGTATTTTTTTTTGTTTTAATTCTTGCTTCAATAGATTTTTAAGAGATTTTCTATAGAAATTAGTCACAAAATAAAATTGCCCGATATATCGAAGTCTCAGTGCTCCATGCAGTAAAAAGGCCTCTCTTAGCTTTCTTTTAAGCCTTTTATCGACAAAACACGAGAAAACTTCCACTATAATGATTTTTCTATATAGTTAAAAGTTATTTAAATATATTTTTTCTCAGGTTCATATTTAATTTCATGAAAAAAGAATATTTTTGCAGTTAAAATATAATAAATATTATTATCACCAAACTGTCCCTGTGATGACTTTTCTGTATATTGAAAAGTGATTTAAATATTTTTTCTAAGATTGATATTCAATTTCAGGAAAATAGGACAATTTTATGGTGAGAATATAATAAATATATGATAATAATATTTATTATATTTTAATTGCAAAAATATTCTTTTTTCAGGAAATTAAATATCAACCTGAGAAAAAATATATAAATAACTCTTAACTATACAGAAAAGTCATTATAGTGACAGTTTTGTCGATTTTTGTCGATAAAAGGTCTAAAAGAAAGCCGAAAGAGGCCTCTTTGCTGCAAGGAGCACTGGCACTTCGATATATCGGGCATTTTAATTTTGTGACTAATTTCTATAGAAAATTTTTTAGAAATCTATTGAAGCAAGAATTCAAACAAAAAAATACTATTTTGCTGTTTAAAATAAGAGTTAGTAACTTCTGAAAAAAAAATTACTATTTATTGTTGCAATTACTTAGAAGGTTTAGAACGATATGCATATTTCAAAAATATTTGACTTCCATGTATGTTTATTAGTTTTTAAAATATAGTCTTTCGAAAAATTTGTATCTTTTTTTCTTAATAGTTAATAACTTTTGATATAATTAATATTTCAAGATGATAATTTAGAAAAAAATTTACTTGAATGTATACGATAATTTTATTGTGCAAAATTTGAAAAAAATTCGTGACCTGGTGACTTTGAGCACATCAGAATAACTAAAAATCACCCATATAACGGAATAAGCGAAATCACTGGATCGCACGTAGAATTACATCTCTATCCCGAATGAAAATCAAAAGGAAGTATTTATGGTTTCTGACGATAAATGAAGAATTCCATTAAAATACTTGTTAGGTGAATCTAACAATCAAACTAATATAATTACTGATCATTATTAGGAAAGTCTGAGGGAACTTAAATAGCGTTTCTTTGTATGCAAATGTGTATATCCAAAGTATATTTTACATTGTGATGAAATAAGGTATAAATTAATGGAACAGAAAAATTTGGACATTATAAAAATTTTCTTTAATTAATGCATGGCTAAAGATTCTAGAAATATAAAAGAAATATAAAAGGGTTTAAAGTATAATACACGATACCTCGACATTTTTACGAGATAAATATCAAAAGTTTTAAATGTTCAAAAAACTTTTTGCACATGAATTACATACTATAATAAAATGTTTATCTTGTAATACCCGAAAGGACACAATAGTAAACGATAACTACATATTGTAACTCCATACCCCTGACACTTCGACTACGTTTACTTATATAACAAATTATTGATTTTAATCTAGACAAATAGTTAGAAGCAGAGGCGTCTTGTCAAATCCCTGGTATGTATAAAATGCATCGAAGAGTTAATATTGCCAGATCCTATCAGTGGAATTTTCCATACAAGTAATGATACGAAAAATTGTAATTATTTAATTATTACAATGTGCTTGAGCGAGATAATCAATGGTTTAAAGTAACCGATTCATATGTTGAAAAAAGTGATGGCCAAAGTGTGCTTAAAGTCCTCATATATTTGTTTTTCGTAAGATGGATCTTTCAAAATCTATAAAATATTAATTGTTACATAAGGCTTTGTCACAACTAAATAAAATAACGAGTCACAACATTTTATTGATTAACACCTCAGTACCGTCAAGTGAAATGATCTCGCTCCTCATATACCTTTCAAGAAAATTAAATACTGCCAGGCGTGTAGGCACTAATATCACTTTATTATGCACATATTTTTCAGAGTATAGTAATAGTATTTCTTTTTTGCATAATAAATATTTTATCATTATTATTCCTTCAGTATTTCTGATATGTATGTTAGTGTCATATTTCAAGAGAATTCTTGCAACATTCATTTATCAAATCCATTTATCCGTTTATCAAATCAATCTGAGACAGTATTAAGGCTACATCTAGCACGACATATGATATTAAAAATCCATGTAAGTTAAACCTGCAGTAAGCTAGAGAAATTCGTGAAATTAATTTCATAGAGGCAATTAGATTGATCGCATTTAATGATGAGTAGGATATTGCAGTGAAGCAAAGAATACTTTGAAATAAATTTTGTATCAATAAGTAAATAATTCAAACCTAAATTAGTTGTCTATTCTTATAGATGATTCGTCTAAAATGAATTTTATCGCAACTACTAAGTCTGAAATAAATGTTATAAAACTACTCGACAGGTTCGTGGCTAGAAAAATTAACATCTGATTTCTAATTTGTTATTTTACTTTTATTATTCGAGTAACAAAACATGTTTGTTTTTGATAATCGCAGGTTTTTTTAAATTACGTCTATCAAAATTTATGTTTTAGTAATTTACATCATTCAAATTTATAATTGTATGAAAATTTGTACCCCGACTGACTGAATTTATTTTATTTGTCAATATTAACAGAAGACCCTGATATGAATTTGAAATCTAACTACATTAAATTAATACAATTAATACACCAAACGTTGGTAATATGTGATTGGTATTAAGGTATAATGATATATACTCTTTATGCAATTCTATTTCAAGATAATTCATTATTATCATTTATAAGTATATTAATGTAAAAATGTTTTTCTTAGATGCAAGAAAAACAAAGAAAAGAAATGTATGATTATATATTAAATTTAAAAATATCGATAGTCTTGTTAAAATTGATAATAATGAATTAATAATCCTACAAACATGCCATAAACATGAAGTATTTTGAATCGTCTTGATTTTGATAACCACGGGCCCGATGAGTAGTTTTATGACATTTGTTTCAGATTTAATAGTTGCGAAATTTACTTTTAACGAATCATCCTAAGAATCAACTTTTTTTTAATCACAAACTAATTTACGCTCGAATTATTTACTCGACTGTACACATTTTATTTTGGAAGATTCTCTGCTTTACTGTGATATCTTACTCATCAATAAATACGATAAATCTATCTTCGCCTGTATAAAATTGATTTGATGCTTTTCTCTACTATAAGTTGATCTATAGTGTGCATAATGATAAGTTGATTTTTCTGTTTTCTAACAATTGACTATTCATAATTATGTTTTAACCAATAATTATATTTAAAATATCGTAAGAAACAATACAATTACAGTTAACCATCAATTATGTTTTAATTATCTTATTAATATAAATTTACCTGTACCTGCCTTACGTAGATTCGGACCTTAACAAAATATTAACAAACCGGAAAAATAACAGATAAGTTAAGCTTTGTTTATCACAGCAAATAATATCACCTACGTCAGTACGTAAATTTAACAGACCTTCGCTAATTAAATAATATTGTTATTTTTACTTTCAGTTAAATAACATATTTTCATTCATAAATGAATGAAATAAACGTTGAAAGATAACAAAAAAAGATGTATTTTATACAATGAAAAATAAGCAAACATAACATAGCAAGCGTAATGAACATTGATAAGGCTTTCTAAATTGTATTGTCAATAAGTATACCGAAGAAAATTAAAAAAGAAATGTATTTTAGCAGAATCTGTAGCGCGCATGATTGAAACACATGCCGTTAAAAGCTTTCATGGAAAGGAATGAATAATGCTAAAAACAACCGATGTATGCAGAAGCTGCCGTGCACTTATTCTTGTACCATTCGCGTTATAATTGCATTAAACATTGTAAAGCGCAACATGTGTAGGTGGCGACGACGACGTCGAACGTCTTTGCGTCTTAGCGTCGCTGTAGTTTCAGCTTTAGTATTCGTTCCACCTCCATCGCAGTAATACGGATCACGTGCGGCGACAGGAAACTAAACATACGCGAGACTGCACCTTGCGCTCTTTGCTTCATAGTCATTTGCATTTCAAAGCGTGAACATAAATGTAGACGCGTGGCGTAATACCTCTTTTTTTAATTTAGCTTTAAAAATCTTGAGTTGGCTAGCCGCTGTGTACAAAACACACGAAATAATTGGCAAATTCTAGATTCCAACAATAACATCTACTGGACATTCGTGCAAAGTGATTGTGCTCGCGTAACGGACGATGCTCATTGCTTCCTTACGGAAGTTATTTTTCATCAGTAAGATTTCCACGTAGTCGAGTGAGTATATTTTCAATCACCGTGTCATACTTTTCTGCTTCTAACAATCTTTTGTTCAATTGTTTCTTTTGCGTATAACATTGTATATGCAGTATTAGATTCTAAAAACTTTCAATGCTCTATAAGCTTTTTTCTGTTATCTACGACTTTGAATAGTGCAAGAATTGGAATCATGTTAAAAAAAGTTTTTTCGAATAGATTTAATAAAATAATTAGAATTTTCATTCATTTATTAATTATAGTTTTTGAAAAGTATAGAATTCCAAAAATTATGCTAGCATAAGTATACTTACTTTCTTTATAAATAAAACATAGCACTTCTGGAAATACATGCACAGTTTTTTCAATAAAAGATCAATAACCAAAATAATAAATTTTCAAGTGAAGGGAAAAAACTTCAACTGTAAAGCTAACATATTGAATCATGTAAAATTCTTGGTTTTAGTGACACAAGAGCGACATATGAGAAAAGCTCATATAGGTTTACGGCCTCGTGAAACAGTTTGTGAAACGGGCGGAAACGTACGAAGTATGATAAAACATTATCGGTTCACGTTCGTGTGTATACCGATGGCATAAATTGGCATCTTACTGATATTTTCATGAATAAAACTACTTTTAATACAACTTTGTTCCAAGTTTAAATGTAATTTTTCAGTTTTCTTTTTCTAATGCAAAACCAGATTTTAAATTTTTTTCTGAATAATCTGTGTTACCACCAATTCTATTTGCGTTAAGCTAGAAAAATAGATCATAACAAAATCAGCTGAGGTTACAGATGTATTTATAAAATGTAATATTTTTCATAGATATTAAGTGGTGTTTCAAATGTTATGCTAACAATTTTTATAATATTCATCTTTGTTCAACATTAACAAAATCAACATTTTATTCTAGTGAATGGTGAACGACAAACTCTTTGGCCCCATGGGCCAAATAATAATATATGGCATTATTTCCATAGTAGTAATAATAGCGATATTGGTGATCGCGTGCTTTGTCACTCCAGGATGCATTGGATATGAATGTGTAAGGCCAAGAAGTAAGAAACTATAGGCCTATAATATACTACTTCTACATGTTTAGATATTTTAAAGATTAAATAATTCTTTTTTTATAACGGTATAAGTTTTTAATTATTTGCTCAACACTTCGTATAGTTACATTCGAATTTACAGTTTTTACTAAAAATCATCCATATTTATACCTGTGGTTTCCTGGAAAAAATTCATAAGTCTTTGTTTTTAAACGTGAAATTAACGATAATTTTGAAATCCTTAAAGAATATTCTTACAGGCAGACTTAGCCTTATAGCGTTGAGTTGTTTAAACCCTTCAAGATACAGCGGTATGCACAAACGGATAAGTCCGTGATCGAAAAATTTTTTACTCAACGAAATTTATTAAATATATCTTGAAAATATGATTCCAGTTGTTTTGGAAAGCCACAAGTACTTTTCTGAAAAATAAAAACGTGTGGAATTCGTTAATTCGAGAAATAATAGGAAATAAAAGATGTATAAAACTCTCGATCTAGTTATTCATTTTATTTCAACGTTAAAAATAATTGGCGAATAAATCATTCACGATTTCATGTATTACAATTGCAAGTAAGATGTAAACATTAATATGGATATAAAATTTTTATTTTAGAAAAATCAAAAAGAGCGCCAACGCTAAATAAAAATAAAGCTATCGATGACGTAAAAAATAATTATACAAGCTACAGATCATGGCGTTTAGGTAGTTTGTATGATACAAATAATGGTAAGTGCCTATTTATGAAATTAAAAAAATTAATGTTTATACTCACGTTTTCAATGAAATAAAAATGTGATTAAGAGGGAAACACTGGATAATTAATTAAAAGAAAGAGATAGAATTAAAGAAGTAGAATTAAAAATCTTCATTGGTTAACTAAAATAGCAATTTATTTCACAATTAGGAACGATCCACGAACATTCAATATCACCAAGAGATTCAATAAATTCAGTTAACAGCCAATTTGAATCAATAGATACTTCATCCGTTGTGGTAAGTTTCAAATCTAATCCATGATTCTACTATTATTTATTTAATAATTCACCGTTTTTAATAACAATTATTTTTATCACTTAAATATATTCAAGAATCTTGTAAATCCTTCTGGAGGAAAAAAAGGCAAAGAAAAACCTTTTCCTACCGAACTAACTTTGAGTCTCAGATTTTTGCCTTATTGTGAAGGAGTTACGTCATCGAAATTAGTAATTGGAATTGAGGTATAGTATAAAAATCGTTAAACAGTATTAAATACTTGCAAAAATATTTGTGTAATTGGGCTATTTTGAAACATTTGAAGGCAGTATCTGGGCTACCTCCAAAACAGTATAACTGTACATTAGATCCATACGTAAAATTAAACATAACTAAACAGTCTTGGACACATAAAAAGAAGCGAGAAATGTACAGTTTCACTACTAAAAGTGTTAAGCAAACAGCTAATCCAATATTTAAAGAATCGTTTGTAATATCAGGCATATCTACTCAAGAAATTAAGGTATTGTAATGAGCTATAGATATTAATTTCACCTCGCCTCACTTACCATTCTAAATGACATTTTATATCATCGACAAAGACGTATTTTGCGAGCAAATTACAGATTATACTAGCTTTCATTAAACAATCTTCTATTTTAAAAGTTCTAAAAATTTTAATTTGAATTTAAATGGAATCGAACATTCGGAATCCAGTACTAACTAAACCAGTTCGTTTACTTTTATTGTATAGTAAAACCATTGGCACGTAAATTAAACTGGCCAGTTTTTAACATTTAGTTTTATCATTATCATTCAATAAATATTTTTACTTTTTCGCTACTTCTATTAATTCCAATCAAGAGAAATTATTCGTAAGTTATAATTATTTTAAAAAATCAACCCACTACAAATCCTTTCGAGCACGATTTTATGTCATAATTTTATCACCGACGTTTCGGGAATCTAATTCATTCCCATCTTCACGGGCTATGATTTAATATACAATGTGAATTTTGGTATCATTTCAAAAATACACAAACTGAATTTAGCTACTATCGAATATATAGTATTGGTATTGAAATATGGTGGATTGAATTTATGACATTGAATTTATATTTCAATACCAATACTATATGTTCGATAGTAGCTAATTTCAGCTCGAGTATTTTTATTGATAATATGTAATAACATGAAAAATAGACATGTGGTTTTATATATATCCTTAAATGTCATTAATTTCTAAACGACATACGTATAATAAACAAGTATTTTCGATTTGAATTGTCTACTCGTATTATGTATTATACTGAATACACTTCAACAATAGTTTTTAGAAGACTACATTTCATTTTATTCGGCAGTATGTTATTCTAATAAACTTTTGGCTCACAATTATTTGAATCTTCAAATATTTCGAGCTTGTTTTTGCCAAATAAGAGCCAAATAAATTTAATAATAATCATGGCAATATTGTTATTATATTTTTATTCACAATAACATTATTTACTATTTGTATAAATGGGCTTTTCTGTGATCGTGAGTGAGATTACCATAATTGAGTGGCTGTTGTACTCGTCCTCGGTTCGCAAGCTCGTATTGACCCATTAATGAGTTAACGCCTAACTAGACACATATTGTACACCTCTTGTCCAGCGTTCATAATTGTTGCATTTCGAGGCGAAAAAACTCGCAATAGGTATATTTTTATAGTTTGAAGTGTACTCTTTATGGTGGTACTATTCAAATTATCAAAGAACTTTATTTTTGTGATGAAAAATATTGTTTAAACCAAAAACTATTATAAAAGATAATTTTTTTTTTAAATTGCGTTTTCAAAGACTAATGAACTTTGAACTGGTCTAGATCATGGACGCGATATTGGAATCTAAAGGATATGAGGTGTCGAAGTCAATTTGACCAATAAGACATTTCAAAATGGCATCCGAAGTGCAAAATTTTTTCCGAAACATTCATGAATTTCTTTCTCAGATACGAAGCACTTTACCAAAAAATTTCGTAAACAAAAATTGCTTAAAATTGATCAAAGAATATACCTGAATTTTTCTAGAAGTTACGATCAACTTTTTTGATTTTACAAATTGTCAATTTTTTATAAATTGCTAAAAATCTTTCGAATCGTTTCAAAAAAAAAATGTATGCATACTCCAAGGTCTATTTTAAACACTTTTTGTACTTGGTAATTTTTTCATGCAATGCTTTGTTTCCATGAAAAAAAATCCAAAATCTTATAATCGGGCAAATAAAAAGTGATTATATAGAATTTTTTCGTCGGAAACAAAGCACTTTGCGAAAAAATTACTAAGAACAAAAAGTGATTATAATCGGTCAAGGAGTATATCTTAATTTTTTTTAAAACAATTCGAGGGATTTTTGCAATTTGCAAAATCAAAAGTTGATACTAACTTTTCAAAATAAATTCAGGTGTATTTTTTCATCAATTCTAAGCAATCTTGCTTTTAAGAAATTTTTTGGTAAAGTGCTTAGTTTTCGAGACAAAAATTCAAAAATATTACGATAAAAATTTTGCGCTTCGAGTGCCATTTTGAAATGTCGAATTGGTCAAACTGACTTCGAGACCTCATATTCTTTAAATTCAGACATTGCATCCGCAATGTAGACTGCTTCGAAGTTGATTCCAAGCCAATAAATATTTGAAACCTCGATTTAAAAGAAAAATTATCTTCGACAATAGTGATGTTTTTATTTTGAACAACATTTTTCAGCACAAATGTGAAGTTCTTTAATAATTTGAATCGTATCACCAAAAACAACATACTGCAAACTACAAGAATACACCTATTGTGATTTTTATCGCCTCAAAATGCAATAGCTGTAAGCGCTGAAAGAGAGGTGTACAAAATGTGTCGGGCTAAACGTTAATGGGTTAATTCATACTGTAATACCTTAGGTCACAAATTACTCATTTTACGTTTTTGTTACACAATGTACCGTTATAAAACTTTTTAAATTTCGTTAAACTCACACAAGACTAATCTTCGTTAGCTTTCTTATACCAAATAATATTTTTCAGGAATGGATTTTGAATTTTGAGGTTCATGATCACGACCGTTATGCAAATCATACAAAGTTATGCGAGTTACAAGTACTATTGAAAGATATGAAAAAGATATATTTCAGTCCTGAAACGCATCTATTCAACTTTCACATGAAACAGTCTAAAGAGGTTTTTTTATAAATATTTATGCACATGTTAATTGTTACGGATAATCAATTATTGACATTGCTGATAACGAAATAATGATAAGAATAATTATAGCTCTAATTACACATGTTATTTATTTTTAGGAATACGGAAGCATATTACTTGGTATGAGTTATCTACCGACAGCACAACGCTTAACAATAAACGTTATGAAACTACGTAATGTCAAGTTCATGCCTACTATTCCTAATATACACGAATTTAGTAAGTACAGTGAGCATATAAAAAATTATAATCAATGAAGAATAAAATTCTAAAAGTAGCCTTAGTTTTCTGTAACAAAGTTGAAAAAAGAAATTTATAAATATATATTTTTATCAATTAGAAGAAGCCTTCATGCGTAACATATTCTTGTTTACATAAATTCATTAGACAAAAGCTAATTAGAGAACATTAATCATACATTATTCAATTTAATATCAAATTTCTATGACACATTTTATAGAATATTACAGGTAACAACTATATCTGATTACAGATCCATATGTAAGGATATTAATGTTAAACGGTAAAACTGGCAGAAGGATGAAAAAGAAAAAAACGAAATGTATAACTGGTATACAAAATATTGAATTTAATGAAACACTAACCTTTGATTTACCTATTCATCAAATCGATAGTATACAATTTCTAGTTATTTTATGCAGCAAAGTAAAACATTTATTTTAATAATGAAATTAATTTTCATCGAACGTGTTTAATAATAAGTGCTATGTGAATTTTTGCTTACTTTTTTCAGCTTACCCAAGAAGATAAAAGTTCAGCCATGATGAACGAAGTACCAAGTGATAGTGAAGATTCAATTAGTTCATTTCAAAAACCAAAAGATATTTGTTTGGGTAAAGTTGCTTTTGGAAAAGGCGTTCGTGGTGTAACAGAACGACTTCATTGGTTCTCTACTTTACAAAATCCTAGAAAACTCGTCACAGTATGGCATTCGTTAAAATAATGGAATACCAGCATATTGAAACAGTATGCACATTTTTTTCTTTTCGGAATTTCTCAATAACGCTTGATTTTTGATTAATTTGAAAAAACTCTATTATGTAAATGGATACAGTGCCGCTCACGCACTTTTACCCCCCCACGGGCAAAATCAGTCTAACTTCAAAGTTTTATATCTCTGGTAGAAATTAACGTACAGAGACGCGCGTGGGTGCGTTTGAAAGGTCTTTCGGAGAGCTTTCAAATGATATGACTCACGGTTGCCATCGATTGTTTTTTTAAATTTTGCAACAATTATGCAAAATTGAAAATTCTGAAATTTTTTTATTATTTTTGACAATTAGCCAATTTTGGAAAAAAAATCGTACGAAAATTTGAAGTACACCATTTTTTAGCTATTACCAAGCCCTATCTGAATCACTCATCAAAAATTTATTTTCGTCAAATATGACGCGCGCACGGGCATTTTTTCCTGGAAGTGACAGTTTTTTTCAACATTTTTTATCTCCGTCAAATTGTAATAATCGAAAAAAATTTATAGGAGAAAAAATGTTTGTTTTTTCACGTAGAATACTGCAATAATTATTTTTTTGGTTTTTCGAAAAATTTTTTTTTTCGGTTTTTTTCAATTTTTTTTTCTCACAGTCGGTACGCTAAAAAGATGAGAAACCACAAAAAAAAATTTTTTTCCACCCATTCAATAATACTACATAACAAGTATCGTAAATTACATAAAAAAAAAATCTTTTTTTTTTCGACCTTGAAAAATAATTTAAACCGAAAAAAAAAATTATTCGAAAAACCAAAAAAAAAATTATTGCAGTATTCTACGTAAAACAACAAACATTTTTTCTCCTATAAATTTTTTTCGATTATTACAATTTGACGGAGATAAAAAATGTTGAAAAAAACTGTCACTTCCAGGAAAAAATGCCCGTGGGCGCGTCATATTTGACGAAAATAAATTTTTGATGAGTGATTCAGATAGGGCTTGGTAATAGCTAAAAAATGGTGTACTTCAAATTTTCGTACGATTTTTTTTCCAAAATTGGCTAATTGTCAAAAATAATAAAAAAATTTCAGAATTTTCAATTTTGAATAATTGTTGCAAAATTTAAAAAAACAATCGATGGCAACCGTGAGTCATATCATTTAAAAGCTCTCCGAAAGACCTTTCAAACGCACCCACGCGCGTCTCTGTACGTTAATTTCTACCAGAGATATAAAACTTTGAAGTTAGACTGATTTTGCCCGTGGGGGGGTAAAAGTGCGTGAGCGGCACTGTATACTTATGTATTCCTGGTCACGATCATGAACTTGATATCTATTACATAGACCGATAAAATTAGATCGACCTGATCCAGAAACTAGAGTATATATTCTACAAAATTAATAATCGAGGAAATTGATAGTTTTCAATTTCCCCTTTAATTCAGGATCTTCATCGAGTCAGAATTCAAACAACGTAAATTCTTAGATGCCGACGTTTCTCTCACTATACAACAATAGTATAAAAATTACATTTCTCACCATCAAAATACATGTATATTATTCAACTAAGCGAGAAAAAATTGACAAATAATCATCTTCTTTCATGGACAATGCCTCAATCATACATACAGTGAGTTTTATTTCAGTGCTTTGCGTTTTGCGTTGTGTACTCTTGATTTATTGAATTTGCTTATATTATAATTTTGTTATATTTGAGTTTTGAATAGTTTTTAATTTGTATTTAATTTTACAACAATTAATCTACTTAAGACATTGTCCAAGAAAGAAAAGGATTATATGTCAATTCTTTCTTGCTTAATTGAATTATTATATACATGTAATTTTGATGATAAGAAATATAATTTTTACATTACTATTGTATAGTGAGAGTTGAAAAATTGATGGTATTTTGTTTGTATTGTTGCTTTTAGCCTTGAGAAGCGAGGTAAATAAAATCTCCGAAACGTCGGCATCTAAGAATTTACATAATTTGAATTTATTGACTCGATAAAGATCCTGAATAAAAGAAGAAATTGATAGTTTTTAATTTCCTCGGTTAATTATTAATTTTCTAACATTAAAATTTCTAGCATTAAAGTCGCTCAAATGAGTAAAGTTTCACATACAGAGTATATATTTCCGAAGGTCTTTGGTACGTTGAATCCGAATCCGAGATCCAAATCTCTCGATTAGCTCTGATTTTTTATATGTTCTAACCTAAAAGTGTAAAAACAGTGTTTTTTGTCTATTTATGAGGTTATGTAACACCGAATTTTATTTTTTTCTTAAAAACTATACATTTTATCTTAAAAGATTTTATCTTAGAAGTCTTGCTCTTTCAAATGCCGTTGAGTTTGCTTAAATACCTTTTTTTTTGTTTAGATTTCGCATTTTGAAAGTTTGGAAAAACGAGTATTTATTAAGTCATGTCAGGACAAATGTCTATGATATCCATATATATCTAAACCTTAGAAAAAATTATAAAAATTGTAATATACAAACCCTCAAACTTCAAACCCAGAATTTCTAAACCCACAAACCCCAAATTAAAATTTAACGGAGTTTCAAATTCAGAAATTGGAATAAAAACGAATGGATTGCACATCACAATTCTTGACCCATTCGGCTCTATTCCGATTTCTGAACTTGAAACTCTCTTAAATTTTAGCTTGGAGTTTTCGGGTTTGAAATTTATGAGTTTGGGATTTGTGGATTTGAGGTTAGGGGTTTGTATGTTACAATTTTTATAACTATTTCTAAGGCAAATTTATAAAATTTATAACTATTTCTAATTTTTAAATACATACTTGGATATCATATAGACATCTGTCCTCACATCTTAATACATACCCGTTTTTCCAAACTTTCAAAATGCGATATCGAAGATATTTGAGCAAACTCAACAGCATTTTTAAGAGTATGGTTTCTACTTTAAGATAACATTTATAGTTTTTTAAGCACAAAATAAAATTGGTGAACCATAACCTCAAAAATAGGCAAAAAAAACACTGTTTTTGTACTTTTAGGCTAGAATATCTCGAAAACGAAAGCTAATTGAGAGATTTGAACCTGGGATTCAGATTCAACGTACTAAAAATCTTCAGAAATATATATTCTAGATTCTAGGTAAAAATCTTGTCAATCTATGTTATTAATAGTTTTTACGTAATTAATGATACAATCACAATTCATAAGCCGTGACTGTATTTATATGTAGATTATTTGTAAAAAATTCAGATGATTCTGGAATTATAAATAATGAATGATAATTCATTTAAATCCATATAATGGACTTGAAAAATCTGATACCTCTTTTTTTATCGTGGTTTCAATAGAAGAAAATGAAAATATATTTAAATTGAAATTATAGTATTGTATTTCAATCTTAAGTACACCCGTATGAACATACACACTCGTGCACGCGTACACACATGCACGCACACACACAGTTGATTAATGATAAATGTATATGTGCGCGATCGTATGTGTAAATATACGATTCAATTCTCTTGAAGCATAAGAATTGTTAAAAATAGCCAAAAGTGATTTAACGTTTCCTTAAAAACGAAATCCGAATTTCAGAGAAGAAGTTTGTAAATATATTCATGTAATATACACATGTAAAATATAAAATAGTTATATGAAAACATTGATTTTGCAACTTGTGGTGATCATTTTTATTGAACAGCGTTGGTTGTTAGTAAATTTTATTACAATCATTTGGTAAATGAACGAATGATATAACTTATTGCAACTTTTTTCATTAATTTGTCAATTTTTATTTTCTTTCATTTTAGTATCCAGTACTGACAGAAACATAAACGCCGCTGAAACATTTTCGTCGCCAGTATTATCAAAGACTACTTTTTCATCAATTATCCAATTTCTATAAAATATTTCAGAAATTAATAAGTATTCACAGTGATATGCCAATTTTTGATGCTCATTGGAAGTGAAAATTCCAGCAACAACTGGTATCTACAATATATATTAAGAATTGTAATCACTGTTTCATAATTTCACCTTTTTAATGACTACTTTATACAAGATCAGAAATCCAACAGTTATTAAATGTGAATTTTATAAATGTAAAAATGCTAATTTTCTTTCTCTAATTGATGATTGATCGAGTTGCAAATTAACTGCCATTCTATAAAATATGTACGATAATACAGTGAAAGAATAGTAACGATAACTCGAATAATATTAAACACCGTTGAATGGGCGGTACGTATAATTATTCGTATTAATTGTTAGACCAATATTCCATTAAAACTCGTCTCAGTATTCCAGAGGTATTTGATATTGACAGTACTACAATAAAATTTAAGAAAGAAGATATAATTATATTAGTTATGAATTAATTAACGGTTTCTTTTCAATGCTCTGTGCGTGGGGACTTGCTCGAGGAGTATGCCGAAAATCTCATCGCACACATATTGTATCGAAAAATAATGTTAGATACAAATGCGGGGAAGCTCAGTTCGCTCAGATGCATACATCCACATGAGGTTGAAGTTATATTCATGTAAAAGGAACGAAATGTACAATTTGAAGCACATGGCATGAAGGACATTGTCGAGTAAGCTCTTATTAATTGTTTCAATGAAAACGAGATCTTATGGAAGGTATGGCTTGGTTAAATTTATATCGAGATTAGGTTAAATACCTGCATATTCGAAGCTACCAAACCGCAAGCCTTAAGTAGAGCACTGTCAACACCTTTGATTTTAAAGGATGGATGTATCGACAGCACATATATTCGAAGATAAGCATTCTGTCCGAATGTTTGATAGGCATCAGCTTGCGAGATTAATGAGTTCTTTAATTGCATAATGGCTTTTAAAGGTTCTCCTTCGTATACCTAAATTTGATTGTAAGCTTAGCAAAAATGATCAAATCAATAATATTCTAAATAACAATGGCACTGACATCTATAAAAAAATAAGCTTTTTCAACGACTAGTGCTAAACAAAATTACCTGTACACGATTGAAAGTATCACTTTTTTCAATTGAGCTATCGATTCGTGTTATGGCTACTCCAATCACGCGGCCAGATTTTGCACTAACGGCTACTAAGCTACAGGTATCCTTCATCCATGTCCTTATGAAATTTAAGTAACTAGCCACCGATGCACTGTCATCTAATAACTTGCTTGATTTACACAGTGGTTCCTCCGCAAAAAAATGATGCTAATACATAAATAACCTGATTTGATAAAAGTATAAATTCACACGTTCGGTATACTACAGCCATTTCAAAGCTATCGCCATTACGCAACTTCATTTAATGTTCGTGCTTTTTGCATAAATTCTATGATACACTTTTCTGGTCACTTATAAAATTCAAATTATTGATAAAAGTACAATTGTTTAGAATAATTATACTTCTAACCTTCAGGTTTCCACTATTGCCAAACTAGACACGTAAGCTACTTTTAGTTTCCTTTTGCGATAATTTATTAATTATATATTGTAAATACTTTCATATAAATACTAGTATATGATTTTCCTATTATGATAAAATAACCTTTATAAGAGTTATAACTTCGTCGTAGTGGCTTTCATGGAGATCCATTACTTTAAATTTTGCATTTGAATACCAAATAATGGTTTCGGTTCCACTCAACATTGTGTATTTTTATTAATTATTAATATCAAACGTCTTCAACATTTTAGAGTTTCAAAGATTTTTTGTAAGATTTAATTTGTTCATAGTTTATAGTTTATTAGAAAAACGAGAAATTGTAAAACTGCAGTTAATAAACACAACCAAGTCAAGTATTGATTAAACAAATGGATTGCTAACGTCACTTTTTATCATATAATTTTTAGACGACGTACAAAAGATTAGACAATACGAAATGAATCGTAGAATTTCTTGATAAAACAATCAAAACTAAAAGTATTTGATATTAATGAGAAGTTCATAACAAATTTTAAATTGTCTGCATGTACTTCAGTACACAAAATATTTATTCAAGATCTGACCGCATAATAACTTATTCTTTTAATAAAGAAAACGATTTGTTTTATTGGTTTCATAACGTTTAAAATTATCTAAGGCTATTTTAAAGTAATTTAAAATTTACAAGGTTATTTCATGGTTGTTTAAAGATATTTTAGATATGTCAATGGATGAAACTGGATAAAGGACCTAATACAGGAGAGAGAGAGAGAGAGAGAGAGAGAGAGAGAGAGAGAGAGAGAGAGAGAGAGAGAGGGAGGGAGCAACTGACAGAAGTCGATATGGTGCACTTACAATTCGTTAGTTCAAATTTTTTTACAATATTAGAAAGTACAATGAAATACTGAACATAAAAGATATGTTTACAGAAAAATTAGTCTTATTCAATTTCAACTGTCATAATTCATGAATCTATGTTAACAAATAAAGTTTTATTTCTTTAAAAATATCAGTTCTAGAGTCGCAGTAGTAGAGGATGCACTAGTTTTATTTAGGTTTGCGTTAATACAATTTAAATCAGTAAGTGTAGGAAGAATATATGAATAATCTTTACCATTAATTTTTATTATATAAATAGCTCATGATAATTTATGCTTGTTCTATTCATCATTAGCTGGACAGCCAATTATTGAATTAAAAACTCTTTTAATCAACATGCACTAATGATCTTTTCCTGCAATTATTGCGAAGTAATTACTTGTTTGAAAAATAACTGTTGCAAGAACCAGTAAAGTCGAAGTAGTAATATGTATTGAGCACCCTTATTTATTTCTCTTGGAAAAATGTAATTTATCACTCTGCAATCTAGGCTAATGGTTAAACATAATAAGTATGTCAATATATAACACGTCCTGATCTTACCTAATTATAAAAATGTATTCAAGAGAATAAAATAAATTAAGAGATATGCCTCAAAGTAATAATAAAATTCAAAAGAAATGTATGGCCATTTTTAGTATTTTCTTATGAAATTGTAACATTCATTTCAGAAAAAACTAAATGTTGAAAATAACAAGCTATCTACAAAGAAAACTTATTACTATTTCACTTTAAAGTTCCCGCATTAAAAATGAATTTGAATAATAAACTCATTCAATGGATAACAAAAATATTAGACATTTGTTAATTAAACATAAAAGTACGAGAAACCCTCAAGATTATTTTAATATTGAAGGTCTATTAATTAGGAAATATTTTATAATTCATCTTTGATGGGTCTACGGTAATTATACACAGCGCCTGCTATATCACGAATGGAAGGCATCAATTCACTCCAGAACTTCACTCTATCTAGGAAAAGTTCTTTTGACATGAATAGTTTATCCGAACCACCAATATTCAAGTACTCTAACGATGGTGTTTGCACTGGTTTCCACTTTACCGGGATATCAAGAGAGATTTCAGGTGTGGGATTCCTAAAACAAAAAACATACAAATAATTTATAACGTTTGAAGATTTGCGGTCAATATCACAGTCAACAAATGTAATTTTCTGCTCAGACTGCAATAAAAACACGTTCTTACGGGTGCGTGTGTATGTTTATCAATGTTTTCTACATCGGGTTTACATACAATTTACGATAGCATCCTTGAATTTAAGTAAGCGTTTGTCACGCTGTATTTATAATTTGTTGTAAAAAAAGCCATAATTATCTGTATTAGTGCAAATAACGAAGAAATATAATGAAAAAAACTCGTTACTTTTCCAAAGTACGGTATTGCATTACTTTATCGTAAGCGTGAAACAGATTATACGTATCTAGTTGTATAGTGTGCTCTATATTTTATGAAAAATTTATTTGATGAAATAGTACAACTTGAGTTTACGAAATAATACATGTAAAAAAGTATGTTTCATCATAGCAGACGTGCCTCCGTCATTACATACTTACCCAGTTTTAGCGAAATTAAACCAAAGCGTTGTCACAATATCTATTACTCGGTGGTCCTCTTTACTCAAAGGTGTATCTTGGAAAAGTTGTTCACCAACTGGAAAGAGATATTGCAATTCATCGGCATGCGAGACCCCATAATCTTCTTTTTCGTCGCCGAAAATTTTGCTGAATGATGCACTCCCTCTATATGCAAAGTAATAGTAGTAAACAGGCGAAGAAAACATTTCTAAATGGTCTCGCACTGCCTCGTCAGCGGCAATAGAAAACCAAGCATCTGAATACATCTAGAAAAGTGTTAACATATGTTGTTTAGAATATAAAAATGGGGACAGCACTGCTTTGTTAAATTTATCTAATCGTACATCAGTCAATTCAGCTTTTGTGGCCTTGTCTATAGGCTTATTTCCAAAATAAAATTTACGAATCATTTTCGACGCGTTATCACGATTTTCTGGTGGACAGGTATCTTCGTACAACAAACTGATAGGTGCCAATTGTTCAAATTCTTGGTCGAGCCTTTTTGACAACTGACCATTGTGTAATCCGAAAAGACCTGTTTTTAACAAAAACTTTCTATATAGCAGAATCACGTGTAGCCAAGTGTGTCTACTTAATGGAATCTATAATTTTTATTGGCCTTATACCTGCAGTTCTAATAGCACCTTCATGAGAAGTTACGCCAGTCATCCAATGAATATCGCTAAGTTTTCCTTGCTTCAAAGAAATTGCTGGGTCTTCTTTTAAAAAAGCTCCTGGGTGATCAGGTTCTATTACAGGTCTGAAAGGTATCATTGGACAGTAGTCGAAAACCTATAATTGAAGTTTCAATATATATAATTTTTAGAAATGGCTATAACTATTGGAACTAATGATTTAACTATTTATTGTTGTATGTGTTTATTGATCTAATCTTATAAAATATTAATTTTCTTCTTTTATTTGTAAAATTTTCAAAATGAGAAAGAAAACAGAAAAAAGTTACGATTAATTTACAAATTATTTGTAATATGTAAGCATGATCTTTAAATACCGTGACATACATTTATATAGGAAAGCACGCTGCTTGCGTATGTTATGATTTGTTAATTAACAATTATCTCCATGCGAACGTTCGCTCGCATAACCCAGTAAGATATCCGTCAGTTTTTCTATGAGCGCCTACATACGTAGGTGCTAGTAACGGATATGAATTAGTCAATTCGCATATATATGCTATTCAATTAGCTACAGGTGCTTTGAAAGACCTTCCACAAGAAGTATCTAAACAAACACGATTCTGTTTTTTGCCTCAATCAACATCGCGAATTCTCTTCATAACGATAAATGCATGGGTGACGAGACGAGCAATAACAGTTACTCAATATTTTACGCAATGTGTTACGGGTTAATACGCGAGCGTCGCGATCATTATATACGACTACTTGAGAAGAAATCTGCACCTTACACGGCAAAGCAGTCTATTGCCTCGAGTTGTTATTTTCATGCCTTAAAAATCAAGGACAATATTTTATTTCTCCTTACTCGAATGAAACAACTTAGCAGTTAAAATTACCCATTTTAAATCATCGTTTCTGAAACCATTTATAAAAGTATACCAGTAACGAAGTATTGAAAAAAACAGTCTTAATACCCGACCTAAATCCACTAATTTTAAACGAATTATTACAATTAAATCAATAGCAAAAGAAAAATAGTACATAATACAATTCATCTTGAGAATGAATATTTATAAACCGATGCTAGTCAGCGTTGCGAGTTCCCCATCTGCTTGTACGCCAACTCATCCGAAACGTACAAAAACCAGTTTCCACTTTAATCTGTAATTGGTGCTGCTTTGTAAATGTTTTTGCGATCGGCACATTTTGCATTGCTACACGTGTGTCTGATTGGCCATGCGGAAACTCAGTTTATTCCGTTATATAAATTGAAAGACGTCAGGAGTGCTGCTCTGACGAGAACTAATTGATTCAAAGTTTTGCATATTGACATTACCTGGAATGCGCGATCAGTGCCAATCAATGCAGTCGCATCTTTAGTACGTAGGCAGGCTATAAGTTTCTTTGAGTCGCCTTTGGGACAACCTAATAATTCGCCTACTCGTTGAGCTTTCTTCTTAGCCAGTCCCGGTCTGGTTAAAGCCCAAGGACATAGAGCAGTACCGCTCTGAGATATTCCACGCTGAAACAGTTCTTGATAAACAAAATAACTGTATTTTAGATATTATTCAAACATCTTCGTCAATATTTTCTAGTACAATTTTCACAACGCCGGCAGATTTCGAGACTTTTAATTTACTTGCTTGACTGGTTTTCATTAACATCAGTCCAGTGCTGTCTTTTTTCCAAATAATATTTTTTCCAATAATAATTTTATTGTAACTATTTATCTGTTATCGGATGATCGTTATTTACATCTACGCAACGAAGCTCCAACTTAACAATTTTTTTTGTGCACATTATTCCTTAGCATTAAATATATTCAGCGGTATTAAAAGTACATTGAATACTTTATTTGAAACTTTTTTTAAAATGAATGTTACCTTTCGACAAGGGGCTGATCATATGATAATGAACGGCAACGCCTCCAGCACTTTCTCCAAAAAGGGTAACACGATTTGGGTCTCCATTGAAATGGATAATATTTTCGTGAACCCAACGAATAGCTTGAGCTTGATCTTTCATTCCTTGATTTCCTGGTGATATGAGGTCTTCGGTGCTCAGGAATCCAAGTGGCCCTAGTCTATCAAATCATTTCATTGTTTTTATTAAATAACTTTCATTTTTTGGCTTAACTAACATTATTTAAATGAAAATAGAAATCTCTGAACAATGTATTCATGAATCACTTATTTTCAATTTTGTATTTATGAGTCATTTTCATAGTAAAACTTTTGTTTGATAATTTTGATTAAAATTTACCTATAATTAATTGTGACTAATATAACATCGTGATCCAACAAAAATTTTGGATTATAAAAATCCGAATGACCGGCACCTGTTACCCAACCACCGCCATGGAACCAAACCATCACAGGATAATTTATCTGATTCTGCGGCTCGATTGTAGATGGCAAACTTGGAGTGTAAACATTAAGGTACAAACAATCTTCAACGCCGACTATTTCCTCTTGATGTGTATAAATATTTCGTTGCGTACAGATTTCAGCATCTTCTTTGGCAGCTCGAATTCCAGTCCATGAAGCTGCCGGTTTTGGAGGCTGTAATATTATGCTACGTTTTAGTTAGTTGAATACCAAGATAAATGCTTGGTTATTTTCATCTGCAAGAATAGAGCTTCGGAATACATTATTGGCAAAGAATTTCATTGATTTTCAAATTAAAGATTTACTTGATATTGGTAATGAAATTACAATATCTGATAAGAGACTTGCAATTGAATTTGCACAAATTAATCGGATTAAAAATTACGTTGCCATATTGTACCGTATTGAGCAGTGCGTCACGAACAAGGAAGTAATTGAAATAATTAGATCCTTTGATTCGGTAACAATACAAGTTTTACATAATAACAATAAACTATATTTGGATTTTCAAATACATCCTTTATTTTTCTATGTTATAAAATTTTTAATATAATTTGTGCATATTTTGTATTTTACTTTTTCTTCACCAAAAAAATTTCAATTTAGCATTATTTTTATTTCAACCATCGACGATCATTTTGATTGCAATATAGAAAATTTATTTGCTCCGTAAAAAATATTATTAATTTTATAATTTCTACTTGTATCTTAGGAAAGTGCGATTTACGTGAAATTAAACATTATTGCGCCTAGTAGAAACACATATATTATAATTGCATATGATTACCTCGAATCGAAGTTCACCCAATGGAGGTAATGCATAAGGTATTCCTTTAAAACTAATAAACTCTTTCCCTTTTCGACTTTTCATAAAAGTACCTTCCAGAGTACCATTCTTTACGTTTGCAATGGGTTTCCATGCTATTACTGAATTGACCAGTAAAATTATGGCGAACGTGTGAATTAGTAGTTTTCCCATTGAACAAAAATTTGACTCACAAGTACAAAACACAGGGCTTATACAATTTTAACAACATGCGACGTTTCACTCTTGTTATCACCGTATTAAAAAAATACTTGCAAAACTTGTAGGCCTGATGGAGTTATTTATTTTTATAAAATTATTGATATTCGAAAAATACTGTGGAGGTATATAATTATGATTTGCACTGCGTGCAAGTCATACACAAGTGTGGTCTGCAGCGTGCACACTTCGCGATGTCAGAAATATGACTGCGCCTGGCTTCCAGGCAAACTAGCTTTCGCGTAATGCATTTTGCACAATAATTTCTATATTAAATTTTTTTTCATTAAATTGTTTCAAATTTAATGCGGAACGAGCCCTTAATTTTTTAGGTGCATGGTCGATTGGGATCATTGTTTAAATAATGCGAGAATATGTGAAAAATAGGTGTTTTCGCTATATCTCAGGCAAATATTAAAGCAGTAAATAATCATTCAATCCATTTTTTTCTGTTGGAAATCCACGCCAAATGATATGTTGATCTTCAAAATCGGTCATTAAGATATTAGTTATTAACAAAAAACCATTAAAAATTCCTCATTTTTCATTAATTTTTTTATTTACACTAAACAAAAACATTTAAACATAAGCACTGAAAAATGATGTGCTTTAGTCGAAAAAATATGTGTCTTTCTTTTTTCATCAAAATTTCGCATATTCAATGAACAATGACATTATTTACCCAATAAGGGCTTAGTTGTAAATAGCTATAATTTACACAAAAAAAACTCGTACGATGATTCTTGTCATGCCATTCGATTTGTCTTGATTTATTCTATCAGAATCTTTAATGGCAATTTGACATTTTTAATTTTTATTTATGCAAAATTGATGCCAATTAGTCAACACTTTTAGAAGACGTATAAAATTATTTATCTTTGCCGAACTTTCTTCATAGAATTTGGTAATACTTACTCTTCAATTACATGTCAATTAATGTACAATTTGAAACCAGAATGGGCTCTCTAGCTTTATTAGAATCGAAGTTACAAATTCATTTATAAAAAATCCCAGCGCTTTGAATTATTAATATTAAGAGATGAAACTAATTTCAACAAATAGCTTAAACATCAAACTTACATATCAACTACTTTTAAACGATCCAATTGTTTATTTATTCATAAAATTTATTCCAAAATCACGACACCTCCTCAAGGTAGCGCGCTGGACCAGTGGTGGGGGGAATGTGCACCAAACCTAAACGAGTCGCTTCAAATCATTCGCGCCAGAAAAATTTACGTTAATTTACAGTTTTATAGTTTAAAATGCGCATGCGCATTATGTTACATAAAAAATATGATATTCAAGAAAACCATGATATTCAATGAATTCATTAACTATTTATAATCATTTGGTGTTAATGTAATGTCATTCAATTCTCATGAATCTTTTACACTCGTAAAAACGTTTACAAATGACTATTTGTTTATAAACAATTGAATTTTAGTAAACGATCGATTTTTGCGACAATTTTATATGACAGTAAAAGCTGAATTCAAGAAATGAAAAGGTTGATAAAAAAGCAGCCTTTTCTAAAAAATTAATCGTTAGTAATTAAAGTTTTCGAGTATGCATATTGTTATTATTTTTGGAAGCTACCCCTTTAAAAAAATTATTCAAATCGGATAAGTAGTTACCGAATTAACGTAAATTTTTCTGGCGCGAATGATTTGAAGTGACTCGTTTAGGTTTGCTGCACATTCCCCCCACCAGTGATAAGAATCCGATGACGCTACAAAAAATTTCATTTTCACGAAATCGTATCACATCTATATAGTTTATACAGCTATGACCGAGATGCTATGGGAATGCCGGCTGTGAATCTTGATCATAGTTATATAAACAATATAGATACGATACAAGTTCATGAAAATAAAATTTTTTGTAGTGTCATCAGATTCTCATCACTGCCCCAGCCACTGGTCCAGCGCGCTGCCTTGAGGAGGCGTCGAGACTATGGAATAAATTTTATGTATAAATAAACAATTGGATCGTTTAAAAGTAGTTGATATGAAATTTTGGTGTTTAAACTATTTGTTGAAATTAGTTTCGTCTCTTAATATTAATAATTCAAAGCGCTGGGATTTTTTATAAATGAATTTGTAACTTTGCTTCTAATAAAGCTAGAGAGCCTATTCTGGTTTAAAATTGTACTTTAATTGATATGTAATTGAAGAGTAAGTATTACCAAATTCTATGAAGAAAGTTCGGCAAAGATAAATAATTTTATACGTCTTCTAAAAGTGTTGACTAATTGGCATCAATTTTGCATAAATAAAAATTAAAAATGTCAAATTGCCATTAAAGATTCTGATAGAATAATACAAGACAAATCGAATGGCATGTCAAGAATCATCGTACGAGGTTTTTTCGTGTAAATTTTAGCTATTTACAACTAAGCCCTTTTTGCGTAAATGTCATTGTTCATTGAATATGCGAAATTCCGATGAAAAAAAAATACATATTTCCGCGACCAAAGTGCATCATTTTCCAGTGTTTATGTTTAAATGTTTTTATTTAGGGCAAATGAAAAAATTAATGAAAAATGAGAAATTTTTAATGGTTTTTTGTTAATAACTAATATCTTAATGACCGATTTTGAAGATCAACATATCATTCGGCGTGGATTTCCAACAGAAAAAAATGGATTGAATGATTTTTTACTGCTCTAATATTTGCCTGAGATATAGCGAAAACACCTATTTTTCACATATTCTCGCATTATTTAAACAATGATCCCAATCGCCCATGCACCTAAAAAATTAAAGGCTTGTTCCACATCTTATTTTTTAAACAGTTTCATGAAAAAAAATTTAATACAGGAATTATCACCAGATTCGAAACTAGATTGCCTTTAGTACTAGGAAAGCTAATGCACCTGTTGCGATAAACTCATGCTGTCAACCTTAAAAATCTGTTAAAGCACCATACTAATATTTGCTTGCCTTTGTTTTCTATGCCATCTACATTCACTTGCACATTTTAAAAATTATTAGTTAAAACAGTTAAATGACATGATATAATATTTTTTATGAAGCAAGAAAAGTTTATTTCTAAAGCTATATGCTGCCGAAAATAATTTCATATTTACCTTTAGTTTTTGAATAAGACATTTTAATATCCGATATTTCGTGGACAAATGAAGCAAGAATCATCAGCTTTTGTTTGCAAACATTTCTCATGATGGAGAAATGTTTGAAAACAAGTGCTCATGTTAGTTATTTCTCCATCATAATGGAGAAATGTTTGCAAACAAGAGCTCATGTTAGTCATTTTGCTTAATGCCGGAGCAATAATCAAAATCAATTATCAAAAGCCGGCAAACAGACGAATATTCGATTTCACGTACGTATTCGTATATTTGCCAGCAATTTGTTTAATGCCAGATAACGCTTATTACTTACGACATATATAAAAAGCTTTGTAAATATATACAGATTTTCATCTTTTACGTGTACCTTGTATTTTGCAATTGTTTTTAAAATTAAAACAGTATTCATTGAAAGCAGCCTTTAAAGTTAATTCTTATACCAATCACTAAATTAAGTTTATTTTTTATTTGTATTATGCGAACAAAAAAGGTGAGTAATAGAAGATTCTTTTTTATACAGTTCAATTAGCCAGTTTGGGCCGTCACTCGAGAACAGATAAAACGGAATTCTGCCATATGTTCAACAATATAGAAGAGATAATAGCATTACTTTTATGCAGCTTAGCATGAAGCGATTCATGCAAGATCAATTCAAAAAAACATTCTATTGTAAAGGGCACATCTTTTTCTACGAAGGCAGGTACTTTTTGTTTTTGAAACAATAGAACACATAATTATAGATTAAAGAAGCATGTACTTTTTTCAACCGGGGTCATACGACAGAGTAATACGATACTTGCAGTAACAGAAGCAAATGAACATTTTTGAGCACAAATGAGTAGTTTTGACGCCAAATAAACTGTGGATGCATGCACGCACGGTTTTAGTCGTGCTGAGTTTTAACGAGCATGGAGTACGTTTGAATATCAGTGCAGAAATTATACACGCACATGCTGCGACCCATGATCATTGCACATTAGTTACGTCAAATTTTAATGTATAGTTCAGTTTTAGTCAGATTTCTGTTACAAACTAGATTTTCACCATGCACTTTTAAATCATGAAGTTTTTTCATTTTATCGCCTTCAAACGCTGCTATATCTAACACTTTAGCGTCAATGACTTAATTATACTAGAAAATATTTTTATGTGAAGCTTTCAATGTTCATTAGAATAGTAAATCTCCAATGCCTCAAATGCTTGATATTCTCGTTGTTCTTTCTAAGTCAGAAAAAATATGCATTCAAAATAAACAAAGAAACAAACTTAAATAATGAGCTACTCAAAAATGCAACATAAAATGGATAATAATAATAATGTAGTAACCATAAGTGTAAAGTATCACAAATATTTATAGAATTTTTTTCTATTATTTTTACGTAGCTGCAACCGCTTATTAATTATTTTTTTAGATTTATTAGTATAATTAAAAAGATTTGAATATGAAATTTGCTATGATTTCTCAGTTTCCATATTAATCACTTGATTATTGTATACAAATTTATTTAAATCAATAAAAGTATTCACATTTGTCAATGCATATAACATTTTTTATTATACGTACGATTGCCAATAATCATAAATTTTATGTGAAGAAGGCGTAGCCAGTAATGCTACCTTTTTCTCATAAACATGCAACACTTACGAAGTCGAGAGCGAATATCTTGACGTAACTTGGCCCACTTTCATAATGTACAAAAAAAAAGTTTAAAATATGCTCGCACACATTCAAATTATTATTTTACAACGGTACAACATTTTACATGTTGTTTTCATTTAAAAAGATAAAATACCTGATGAAGACCACAGTCCAGAAAATGTATTCTTAACGATTAAAGTGATGCTTTTTATAAGTAGGTGCTAATATCAACAACTATGATAAGATTATAAAATGTTGGTGCAATAATCTACATAACGACGGTAAAACGTAGTAGCAGCTTTTTATAAAAAATATTCTAATATTTCTATTCTAATAGATTAAATTGCATATGTTCTCCAACGGTACGCACAAAAAACAAGTATTCTTAATTATCGGAAGAATAAAATAGATTTTAAGTTTTTCTATGATTCCTGATCATAGTGAATTCGACACTTCAT